GAAGAAGAAGAAGAAGAAGAAGAAGAAGAAGAAGAAGAAGAAGAAGAAGAAGAAGAAGAAGAAGAAGAAGAAGGAGAAGGAGAAGAAGAAGAAAAGAACCACAGCTAGTCAGCACTGCCAAATTTCAGTTTTTCCATAGTTACTGAATGCGCTGGAAATCTCTCTCCAAGGTTCTCCTCTCACTATTTCCTGGCCCTTATCTAACTAATCCCTCCCAGCTATTCCTGGCTGTTGCATTATGAAGTTTCTGGGAGGCAGGAATCTAGGCTACCATACCCTGTCCTGGGGATTGTGCTTTTGTGTATGGCAACAGGAGCCACAGAGCAGCTGGGAACGGGTGATTTCTCTATCTTGTAGACTAGGTAGGGGTTAGTAGATGTTCATGAATGTTGAGTGGGACTATTTTTGGAGAAATGAACTTCATGAGTCCTAGAGTCACAGAGCCTGTTCATAAACTGCATCTTTTGTTGTTTGAGGAGATTATTGGAAGCAAGAGCAATAGGAAAAGGAGGAGAGGGATGGACTAGTGTCTGTGAAGCTGTTCCCTTCTCAAGGGCCCATGAATGCTTCTCAAGAGCCTGGAACTTCCCCTGTACTCAGCTTGCAGACTGCTTTTCCTGCAGTACGGGGGTCAATCCTATTCCATATCTTCTTGATCTTGATCCACCTATGGCAAGGGAGGTCTACAGGAGTGTTTTGAGAGAAGCTGTTAGAGGCAGTGATGGCTTGAGCTTGTTCTTCGTGGAACATGCAGGTCTATGCTCTCTGCGTCTCATTGAGAGGGAGCAGCTTCCCTAGCCCAGTAAAGAACTACCTGGGAGACATTTATAAACATACCCGTCCATGCCCTTTCTTCATGTGTTGAGTCTCACTATTCTGACTCTTTAGGGACTAAAAGGAAGTCAAATGGCCTAACTCCTTGTCTTCTTCCTATTCCCTTCTCTTCTTTCTCTCAACAGCCTCTCCATTACCAGGACCAGATATGCCCATGAAACCTAGTGCTGGCCTGTCCCCTTTCACTACCCTTCCCTTTGCCCCACCTACTCCTGCTCCACCAGACCAACCCCTCTGGGAGCCATCACCACAGCCCCCCATGCCTCCTGCCTTCCCTCCAGGCAATCCTCTGCTCCTTTCTGCTTTCCCTAGCCCATTGTTGGTGACAGGAGAAGGAGGCTCTGGCCCCAGTGTGGCTGGAACAGGTCAAGTCATTGTCAAAGTCAAAACAGAAATGGGGCCAGCTGAACCTTCTCAAACTCAGAACCTTATAGTTACTCAGACGGCCCTAAACTGGATTACCTCCGGTGCTCCCTGTGGGGTCCAGGAGGGGCCTCCTCCACCTCCTCGGTATGTGACACCTTCTAACCTGAAGACCATCCTGCCTACTGTGGCTGTTGGAGTGAGCCAGGAGGGCCCTACAGGACTTCCTCTGCAGGTTCTACCACCAGCTGCCCAACTGGCTCCGATTGTACCCCTGGAAAAGTCCTGGCCAGGAATACAAGCAGCAACCACGGAAGGAGGTCCTGTGGCTGCCCGGAAGCCTTTCCAAGGTGACCTTGCCTATGCTTCCAAGGGTGTTTATGAGAACTATCGTCGCTGGCAGCGCTACAAAGTCTTGGCCCGGACTCACCTATCCCAGAGTCCTGATGCTGAAGCTCTTTCCTGCTTTCTTATGTAAGTGTGTGTGTGTGTGTGTGTGTGTGTGTGTGTGTGTGTGTGTGTGTGTTGTGAGCGGGAGTACATCTAAGACTGAGTTTTCCTAGGGCTTTTAGAGAGGATTTTGGTATAGATACAGAGGTTTCGGATACTCTAGAATTGTTGAAGGCAGATGTGAGAGTGAGAGGACACTGTTAAGACATTCTTCTGGCTTATGAGAAATGTTCAGGTACTGTTTTTTTGTTTGTTTGTTTGTTTGTTTTTCAAAGAACACCTACAACTCTGTGAAGTCAGGCAAGCATTTTACGCTAATCCTGAGAAGAGTGAGAAACTTCCTGTCATAAAGCATGAATCAGAGATTGTCCTGTAGGTCCCTGACTCCAAATGTCAGGGCCCTTCCCTGCCTGCCCTCTGCCACTGATGACCTGGGACGGGTGGGCTGGGCCCTAACTAATTCCTGTGGGGTGAGGAAGATGGCATTGGGCCAGGCCAAGACCTTAGTGTGTGAACCCTACCTTACTGAGGTGTCAAGGTGAACTAGGGAGGGGAGGGGACACAGTTGGCTCCACATAACACTAGAGTAGGACATATACCACCTTTGCCCTCAGTTTCCTCATGAGGAAAGGGGGTGATTATACCTACCTCCGTGGGCTGACCAGAAGATTAAAGGTGCTTGGCAAAGTGCCTGGCATAGAAAATGAATCATTTAAATGGTCACTCTTTTATTATTACTATAAAAAGGCAATCTTAAAGAGGAAGTGAGCCCACAAAAGGCCAAAATATCCCTCCCTTAGAGTGTGTGTATGTTTAGCCAAGAAGCCTGGCTTTTTTTTTTTGTTTGTTTGTTTGTTTATATATCAGTCATTAGTCATCTGGGAACTTTTCTCCACTTCCCAACCAGACTGCATATCTCTCAGCTGCAGACCATTGAGTAAACACTCTTTTTTTTTTTACCAGACTCTGAAAAAAAAAAATTCATGCTCTCTTCCAGTGGAAGAACTTCTTCTTCCATTCTTTGGAGCAAGTGATCAAGAGACACTCCCAAGGTCCTCAACAAACACCACCTTACTGAGTTCTTGGTTTCTTGAGATGGCTCCTAAGTTCTTTCTCAAACCTGGTGACACAACTTCTAAATCTAGAACCAGTATGAGCTCTCTCGAGGTCTGCTTAGGATCCATCCCCTTTGGTTTCTGGCCAACTACTGTTCTCTGTGCTTCCATGCTATGGGTAGGACCTCATGTCAAGCATGACCCAGACCCTGTACAACAGCCACCTGGGAAGCTGATTAGATGTTCTGTCCTGGGACCTTGGCTTCTGCAATCCTTAGTGACAGCAAGTTTTCTCGGTGGTACTGATACTCAGCTATGTTTAAGGACTTGGAGAAGCCAGAAAGGCTAAACTGAAGTCCTTACTTTAGTCTACACTCTTTTCTCTGGAGCTTCCCAGAGGTAGTGGTCCAATATTTTATTTGAAGATCTATGACAGCATTCTGGAGGCAATGAATGAAAATCCAACTGGGGGTGGGGGAAGAAGCTAGTCCCTGAACCAAAACCCCCAAACTACTACACATGCTCTAATTAGAGACTTATGTTAGATTAGTTAAATAAGTCTTTGAAAATTCAACAGGTTCTGTGCCGGGTTAAATCCATTTTCTCTCTCTCTCTCTCTCTTTTTTTTTTTTTTTTTTTTTTTGAGATACAGTTTCTCTGTGTAGCCTTGGTTGTCCTGGAACTTGCTCTGAAGACCAGGCTGGCCTTGAACTCACAGTGATCCTCCTGCTTCTGCCTCCTGAGTGCTAGGACTAAAGGCATGAGCTACCACTACCTGGCTGGGTTAAATTCATTTTTATAGTTACAAACTATAAAATGTTTCTTTTTTTTTAGTGTTCAGTTAAGGCTAGCACCATGAGAATTAAAGGAGGGTGCCCTTGTTGATTTCAAAAGGTTGGGAGAAAGATCATTAGATTTTGTGTGTTTTGCACATCTGGGTGGCAAGGGCAGCATGAATGGCAAACAACTGGAGGGAAGGCTATGACAGAGCCTGAGGGGCTTCCTAGATTTGGTGAGAGATGGGAGTGAGACGGCCACCAGAACAGGCGAAAGGCACACATTTACAGTCTGTCTGACCTAACATGGTTTTAGCCCAGTGCTTCGATCCCTGGCCCGACTGAAGCCTACCATGACCCTGGAGGAGGGGCTGCCGAGGGCTCTGCACGAGTGGGAACGCACCAGCAATTTTGACCGGATGATCTTTTATGAGATGGCGGAGAAGTGAGTTTGATGAATCTTCGTTCACCGTGCAGGGGTAGGGGAGCGGTCGAGTGGTAGGGCAGGTTGTCAGAAGGGATCAGCACGTAAAGGTGTCCACCAGCAAGCCTGACAGCCAGAGTTTGATCCTCAGGGCCCTCATGAAGAAAGTAGAGAAAAGGGACTCCCAAAAGCTGTCCTCTGAGGTCTACCCGTGCACATTGCACACACACACATATAAATGCCATCAAATAAATGGAATGCATTTAAAAATAGACAAAGGAGTGTCACAGGAGGCCACACAAGGGTCTTATGGATTCTTGTGGCTTCTACCACCTGGACTCTGGGATTATTTTGCCCTTCTGCTCTTAAAAGTGCCCTTGCCTCTGGTCCTTGGACCTATATGGGGCTTTCATACTGAAGGTGTTAGGGTAGATAGGATTGGGCCCCCTGCTTCTGAAAACTTGATGCTGAAAACCTCACCATGAAGGTACTTTAATTCACCAGGTAGCAAGTGGCTAATGGTGTGGAACTTCAGAATCACCTTTTCTTTCGTATTTTTTGTTTGTTTTAAAAGATAGCACAGACCCCCCCCCCGCCCCTCACCCCAGAAAGGGACCAATTTTCTGGAAAAGGTTGGCCAGAAGAAATCAGGGTATTGGACACCCAGACTGGTCTCCTGACTCTTTATCCCCCATCTCTACAGGATAGCCTTGCATAAAAAATAACTTTGGTTAGCACACATGGCGCCAAGGCTGACATGAGTTCATTTGAGCTCAGGAGTTCAAAGCCAGCCTGGGGAACATATTGCAACAACTGGAGAAAGAATAATTTTTCTTCTAAGTGTACCTTTGTCCTACCCCACCCCCCAGTCTCTGTCTGAATCTGAACCTTTGGCTTCCTAGGTTTACCCTTTGGAGCCTGCTCCAGCCTTTGCACTCTGGTCTCTGCTTCTTGGTGGTCTCTGCTTCAGGAATTCTGCCAACATTTTCAGTTGTAAAAGGGGCAGATGAGGGCATCAAGAGCAACCCTTTAGAGTATACCCTGAGATCATTGCATAGGCCAGACTGAAGTCACTAAGCTTATATGAAGTAGTGATTAATCAGGGCATTGGCTGGGACAGTTATGGCAAAGAAGTAGAGAATATCACTGTCCTGGGGAATTAGCCAAGCTCTATACAACCTCCTAAAATCATCTTCTCCAGCCACCATTGAAAGGGAAGGGACAATATGATAGCGTTTCCCAAAACTGTCATTAGGCTGTCGCCTACCTGTCAGCAGTTTCCCCTGGCTGTTCCAACAGTGTTAGCCGAAATGAAGGTGCTTGGTTTCTTGGCTGTGTGTGAGTGCTGCCTGGTATCTAGGTGACTGATAAGCTGGGTTCTCCTCAGCACAGCCTGAGCCTTTTTTTTAAATGTTATTTTCATTAATGTTTTGCTGCATGTATGTCTCTGTGTGGGTGTCAGATCTTGGAGTTATAGACAGTTGTGAGCTGCCATGTGGGTGCTGGGATTTGAACCACTGAACCAGCTCTCAAGCTCTGCCTGTTCCTTCTTGACCCTTTGCAGATTCATGGAGTTTGAGGCTGAGGAAGAGACACAGATACAGAATGCACAGCTGATGAATGGGTCCCCGGGTCTGTCCCCTGTAGCCCCGTTGAAACTTGATCCTCCAGGGCCCCTGGTCCCAGAGGCTTGCCAGCAGCCAGGTAAGGCTATCTACAAACCAGGTAAGATTAGGAAAGTTTGTTTTTTTTTTTTCTCTCACTTTCTTTCCCACAAGTGACAGTCTATGAGCCTAACACAATGCCCCATAGGAAGCTGGGGTCTTGGCTACATTTGTCTTGAATTACCTATTGATCTTGGTCAAGTAAACTAACTACACTCTCATTTAGACTGTGCATGAGCCCTGTACTTTTTCAGCCTAAGAAATGGGGGTTGGATCAGGAGGCTTTTTGGAATGTCAAGGTGTGTGGAAAGATTTTAACACAGTGCTCTCTCTCATACCTTCCAGTTCTTATGTTTTCTCCACCCAAAGCTTGATCCCATTCTGGAACCATTTCTTGTACCCAGATTTTTTTCCCCTCCAAATATTACTGGGAAGTAGATACCAAAGCTGCTTTCTCACTCCCCATCTCTTCCCTCAGCGTACATTCCTAAGAAGGCAGCCTCTAAGTCACGGGCTCCCCGCCGGCGGCAGCGTAAGCCCCAACGGCCTCCAGTTCCTGAGGCACCCAAAGAGATCCCACCAGAAGCTGTGCAAGAATATATTGACATCATGGAAGGGCTGATGGAGAGCCACGTGGACCCTGGGAAGACAGTGGAAGAGAGGCAACAGGAAGGTACAGGGATGTTTCCAGACTCAAGTCTTCTGAACTACATTGATGAACTATGTTCTCAGGAAGTCTTTGTCTCCAAGGTAAGCTGGGTCTACATGGCTAACTTCTAATAAATACTTAGGGGCTGGGCACTATGGAACACCAACCTTCTGGGGTTCTGCACATGGCAGCAGGTTCCATTTTAGAATTTAGAAATGGGTATATGTGTATGAATACATAGGTAGCCGGTGGTAGTGACTACCACCAATTTTTGTAACAAACTCCAGGGTGAAATGGGGGCATGGGCCTCGTAGCTTTGTCTCTAGAGCACCTGGCCTTATAGGTTACTTCACACCAAGATTCACACCATTCTTCTGTTTCCCAGGTAGAGGCCGTTATTCATCCACAATTTCTGGCAGATCTGCTGTCCCCAGAAGAGCAGAGAGATCCTTTGGCTTTAATTGAGGAGCTAGAGCAAGAAGAAGGACTTACTCTTGCCCAGGTAAAGTTGGGAGGTAGAGAATGCCAGGAAAAGGAGCCTGCCTGATTTTGTATAACTCTTTGATATCCTGATACTGTTTTATAGGATTTAGGTTTGGGTTCTGGATCTAGAGGAAGTAGGTAGGGGATTATGTGAACAAAGTATATGGGCGAAGAAAGGCTCTCAGCAAGGGAATAAAGCTCCAGAGCAGAAAGAGCTGCAGTACCTATCTTTGATGCTACCACTTAAACACTTGCTCTTCTTCCCCATGCTATGTACTGTCTCCTATCACCCACTCAGCCACCTCTTCTCCTAACCATGTATAGAACTGGCATTTGTCCATTCCTTTCCAGCTGGTCCAGAAACGACTCTTGGCCTTGGAAGAGGAAGATGCTCAGGAGCCTCCAAGTTGCAGTGGAGCTCAGTCAGACTCAAGTCCTTCTATTTCTGACGAAGATGAAGATGGGGGTCGGAGGTGTCGGCCCTCACCTGGGCTTCAGGGGGCTGCGGGCACTGTTCGCATTGGAAAATCTGCTTCTCCAGGCAAGCAGGCAAGAGAAATGCATGGTGGGCAGGAACGAGTGCTAGGTGGTTCAAGGGGGATTCACAAGGATGGAAACACGCTGCCATCCTCTAGCAGCTGGGACCCGCAGCTAGAACTCACAGCTCCACAGGGAATGCAAGAATCCTTGGGTATGGAGAGAAAAGGGTCTGGGAAGCTATATGCAGCTCATGACGGCCACCTAGGAGGTCCTGGGTATTCTGGGCACTACCCAGCAGCAGATAGGAATCCAGAGGCTTTACCTTTTTGTTGGCAAGAAGAGCCCCAACCTGTGAGAGCCTCCAGTTTGGATGTTGGAGTTACAGAGCCAGTTTCTCTGCAAGGACTTGGGTTAGAAAAGCAGGCCTTAGGGTTGCAGATAGGACAAGAGATCGGGGGAGTTGGGGTGCTTACTCAAGGGAGAGAACCTTCAGCGGTGTCCCAGAAAGGCTCTTCAAGAGCCATGTGGGGAGATGACAGAGGTCCCGACACAGCTCAGAGTTATGATCAGAACCATTCCCCTGGAGCAACTGGCAACCTAGAGAGGGTTTCTCTCAGCCCAGGACTGTGGCTGAGCAGTGACATGGATGCTGTGGGTTTAGAGTTGCCCTTACAAATCGAAAGTGTCATAGATAGCATCCAAGATGAGGCAGGTATAACAGAGGACCAGGCACTGAGTTCCCGAAACAGTGTTTCTCCAGGCCCTAGAAAAACCACAGTGCCCGAGAATGTCGAGATCAGTGTGGTTCCCTGTGGAGGCACAGATGCGACAGCTGTTATAGAAAAGAGAAACTCCTGCAGCTTGCCAGGATCTCTGATGGCCGATGGCCCTGCTTTGAGGTCTAAAGAGAATCAAGAGCTGAGTCCTGAGACCACACAGGATCCTAGTGATCTGTGGGCTGGAGGTTGCTCCCCACTGCTGGAAACACTTGACCCCTCCACACTGGGGTCTTCAGAAGACACCCTGTTACCCACATGCCAAGGCAATATCCTTATTCTTGGGACCCAGGATGCCTCCTCTTTCCCCCAGGCTAGCCAAGAGGCAGAGAGCAGAGATAATCTACTTTTTCCACTTTTGGAAAACATAGAACAGGTCAATATACTAGATATTAGAAATGACAGCAGTCCCAACCCAGGGGTCAGCAAGGATTCCTTCTCACCAAATTTTAACTCTTATAATCTCCAAGGAGAGTGCAGGGAAGATACTGTCTCCTTCAAACCTACTGACCTTGATCCTTTACAAGACAATCAAGAATCTTATACACTTGAGGCCACCAAATCAACATCTGGCCAGGGCCTGGGGAGTACTTCCCCTAGGTGGGGTACTAGGGATGCTTTTGTTCTCAGAGAAATCCCTACTGGAGAAACATACAACTCAGCAGATAGGGCAAAAGGAAGTGAGAAAGAGGAGGAGGAAGATGAAGAACTATCAAACTTTGCCTATCTTTTGGCTTCGAAACTTAGCCTCTCTTCTGGAGGGTTTCCTTGTCATGCCTCTGGAAGTCAGGGAACCCCAAAAACATCCCACCACTCTGCTGAAGTAGATGACCGTGACCAACTTTCACCCCCTTCCAAGCCTGGGAAGCAGGTTTTAGTTGGGAGTCCAGCTGCTGCTGTAGAGAGATCCCAACTGGAAGCTCAGCTTGGTAGTTCCAGGCAGAAACCCCTAGCCCTGGGATTGGTGCAGCTCCCACAGCCTCGTAAAAGGCGGCGTGACAGTTTTGTCACAAGCAAAAGGAAGAAGAGGCGTCGTAACCAGTAGGAAGCAGAGGACCACCCTGCCCTGCCTAGCAGCACCCAAAAGTGGGTGCCCCAGAGTCTATTTTAACTGCTGCTGCTCCTCAACGGAGATGCAGCCCCAGCCTGATGCTGTTTTTGTTGTGTAAGAAGCTGGAGGGCCTGGGGCAAAAGGTCAGACTGGCTAGTTTGCAGGGGGTCCTTTTAGTGGGAAGTAAAGGGAAAGGGCTTTGGGAAGTTATAAGGAAAAATAAAGATTGTTTTTGGTTGGAAAATGCTGTGCTCTTGTGTGTGAGCATCTTGGCTGCTACATATAGCCACGTATTATAAAGGCAGATTCTGTACCATGCTGCTAGCCTTATCTCCGTTCCCTGCAGTGTTTTGCTAAGAATCACTTTTCATGACCAGATAGGTTCCAAAACAGTCGTCCCAAATGGTTATCCACTCCCTCTTCCCAAGCCAGAACCTGGCATTAGCAGGTCTTTTCTGGGTATCCTATTGTCTGCCTCCTTTAAAACTACAGGGGAGTCGGGGGCGCTTTTTGTAGGTCAGATTTGAGATCTGCGATTTTCTAATTTACTTTATCTGTGTCAAGACAGAGCACCTCGCGTGCTATGGGAGTAGGGTGTGTGTGTGAATGGCTTTTCTTCCTTTAATGGCTGGACATGAAGGACCTTTTATGTCCTCAGTTCTTGTTACTTTAGGGGAAGCGCCACGTTTGGTGTGACCTGGAGGATTCTGCTTTCCTGACACAGGGCTCTGCATCAAGTATGGGCGACAGAATAAACTCTCAGTGGGACTGTTAAATATGGAATGGTAGTAAGCTATATTTTCATCTTTAATGAGGACAGAACAAGAGGGAATGGGCTGAAAAAGAGGTTCATGAGGAAGTCAATTAAGTACTCGATGGTCACAGGAGGGGAAGATACAAAAATCACTGTATGATCTCCATAAAGGAAATACCCCAGTCCATTTATGAATAAGAGGATTCAGGTATGGCGAAGACCAATCTTTGGAAACTCCAACGAAAATCTGGCAACCAACCATTCATCTCTTTCTTTCCCAACTAATGATTCCACCCACGGGACCGAGCTTCATTTTTTTTTTTTAATAGATATATATTTATATTTATATATAAAATAGTCTTTTACAAAAAACCCCCACCAAACAAAAAATTAAAATAAACTTAAAAAGAAACAAAGAATGATAACGAAAACAAAAAACCCCACAAAAAAACAAAACACCAAATAGGAGCAGAGATGGGGCTGAGGCATAGGGCAGGCCTCTGGTGCTGTCCTGAGAGCAGGGCTGGATTGGAACTGAGGAGAGGGGTGGGGATGGGGGTGGGGGGCTGAGGTGCTCAGTCATCCTTCTGCTTGGGGGCTTGCACAGTCCCATTGGCCAGGGCGGTGGGGCCTCTGGGGGATGAGGCATTTGGTATCTGGGAGGCGCTTTGAGGCTTGTGTGGGGGGCGCAGGTAGGCGCTGAAAAGCTTTCCGTACAGAGGGTCGTGGAGGGAGAAGTTCTGGAATTGACCTGAACAGGAATAAGAAAAGGGAAATGGAAAAGTAAAACCACCTAAGAGTTAGACGGGGACACCTCTCCCTTCTCTTTCCTCAGAACTGGTATACACAGCCCTGCTGCTCCGTCTGCCTTCTCTCCTTATCTGCCTGTTTCCTGCCTACCCTGCCTCTCAGAGCCTCTCCTTCCTTACACTGGCCACTAGCCCCTTCTCTGCCACCTCAGTGTTCAGAATGTATCCTGGTGCTGATGGTAACCCCACCATCCCTCTCGGGTGCCTGTGCAGGAGAGAAGGCAGGGAGGGACTCACAGAGGGAGAGACCTTGGCTGCATCCAGGCTGGCACAGCTCGGCATGCAAACTTGTGGCAGCAGGGCGGGGTGAACCCAGTAACAGGTGCAGGATGGTGCTGAAGCCATCTTTGTACAGCAGGCGGCCAGGTCCTTCTGTCTGTTCTTCAGCAAAGAGCTGGGAAGGCGGGAGGGAGAGAATGCCTGTTAAGTTCCCTCCTTCAGACACTACCTCATGGTGATTGGGAAGCCTGTCTGATGAGCTGCACATAAGCCCTCTTGGACCTCTAGTGCCCCTTCTTTTTTTTTTTGTGTGTGTGTACCCTTGGCTGTCCTGGACATGATTTGTAGACTGTCTGCCCTCAAACTCACAGTAATCCACCTGCCTCTGCCTCCAAGTGCTGGGATTATAGGCATGTGCCCAGGTTAGTGCAGCTTCTTTCAGGGTAACTGTATGACATTTAGCTTTTGCCTTCTTGTTTCCAGCTAGGCCTCAGTAAGAGATGCTGGAGACAGGCAGTTTTAGGTAGTGTGTCACTAGGGAGGGCACAGAGCACGCATTATCCAAGAGCTGCTGGGAACAGCACAATGTAACACCCTCCTGGGATGGAGCTGTGGGGTAAAGTGTATCAGCAATCTTCCCCACAGTCCATCCAAGGTACCTCAAAGGCCAGATGTATCAGCTCCTCCAGGTTCCTGGCCCCATCCAGGGCTGCTAGTGCAAGAGCCACATTTCGGAAGTCCACCAAACCCTTGGCATCCTAGAGAGTGAAAAACCAGAGCAACGTGTGGACCATTTACCTTCCTCCCGCCCTCTGCTTTAGCTTCTCTGCAGCAGGCTTAGAAATGATGCTTGTGACCACTTTGCTCAGACCCGAGCACCACACTCCTCAGGACTCTCTCAGGCCACAGGCTTCCTTCTGCTACCCTTTTCTGCTACAATAAGCTATACCAAACCATGCGGTGACATAACCCTCCCATGGAGATCTAGGAATGTCAGCCAGTCCCCCAGGAATTCTGAAGTTACCATCCATTCTGATACACCAGGAGAAAAATCCTGGTTTCCAAGCCAGACAAAGTGGCTTTCCTCACATCCAGCATATACGGGAGAACTGGTCCAACAGACTGAAAAGGGGGCCACTGGCCTAACTTTTTTTTTTTTTTTTTAACTAAAAAATCAAAACAGGATATATGCTATACCAGGTCTATGGAGGACATGTTGGCTGAGATAGTCTGGCTCAGAGATAGTCTGGGACAGTCTTTCCAATCTTAAGAAATCCACACAGCTTGAAACTGAAACTTATTTAAAAAACATTGCTTTTCAATTTTTTTTTTTTTTTAATTTCATGTGCATTGGTGTTCTACATGCATGTATGTATGTCTGCGTGAGGATGTCAGATCTTCTGAAACTGGAGCTACAGGCAGTTGTGAGCTGCCACGTGGATGCTGGGGATTGAACCTTGGACCTCTGGAAGAACAGCCAGTGTTCTTAACCACTGAGCCATCTCTCCAGTCCCAAAACTTAAAATTTTAGACAAGGTTTAACTATATCACCTAGGCTGGCCTTAAACTTATGATCTCTTTGTTCTGTCTCCTGAGCGCTGAGGATGTTGAGACCGAGAGTCTGTGTCTTAGCACAAAAAGGGCCCTTTGAGGGGTATAAAAGAGCACCTGCCCAGTATAAAACCCTTATTGTATTCCTAGCACTTAAGAAGAAAATACAACCAAGAGCGAGAATTATCATTTGATAGGGTACCTGGGTTATAATTCCGGAAATATAACCAGATAGAACCAAGACAAAACCAGGAATGAACACAAGGAGACCATCCCTAGATCCTGAGCTCGTTGGCTTGGAGGGCAAGCCATCTATTTTGCCTTGGGTTCTAGCACCATTACCTGCTCGAAGTAGCTGAAAGCACCAGCCACTGTCTGAGGATCTGAGAGCTGTAGCTGCTGGGCAAATGCCTCTTGGCTGACCATTCGACTCCGGCCTGGCTCTGCCCCCATGTCCACACAGCCAGGGGACAGCCTGCAATAGAACCACTGACATCAGAGAGTTGACTCAGTTTCCTTTTGGATACACCATGCACCACCTTGCCCCCAGCCCTGGCCTCCTAGTGCAGGCTCAGCCACTGTCCCTTGGCCTCTTGAACTGAGGATGAAATCCAGCACAGAACTACTTCTTTCCCTCATTTTCCCTTTTCAGTTTCCCTATCTGGGTTACTGCTTATATCCTCATCTTTAAGGTAACTTACCCAGCCTTCTGTAGTACCTTTCCCAGCTCCCAGAGTCGTGGTTCCAGTGCTACCTTCAGCTGGCCAACCACAATCACAGGTAAGCTCCCTACAAACTCACATTCTGTAGCTGGAATGTCCAGGGCCCTACAGGACAGAGAGAGATGGAGATCAAGAGGAGGCAGCAAAAGAAATTTCTGAGGCTTCCTTCTACTCTATCTGACTGAAATGGTCAGTTCCCTTTATCTTTTCTCACCTTGATCACAGCTGTCTCCTAACTCTTCCCCACCATCCCTTATCTTTGCCTCAAAACCTCCTGCCTCTCCTGTGGTACCTCTGCTCGGCATAACTGCTCCAGGAAATACTTTGCAGAACACCAGGAAATACTTGTAACACTCACTGTGCCATGACTCTCTGGACATTGTTGGCATAAAGGGTGGGGTCCTTACTCTCCTCAGGGCTGGGCTGATACACAGGGAGGAACTGAAACACAGACAGTCAGGGCTCTCCCATCAGGACCTGAAAGTCAGGAGTGGTTAATACCACTCTATTCTCCCCATCCCACCAAAGAGGGGGAGCACACCTCTACTTCCACGATGCTGCAAGGCTGAGAGGCTGTGAGCCAGAGAACTTTGAGCCTAAGAGAAGAGAGATGGGTATTTGCCACTGTTGAACTAAGAGCTGTTCCTCCTGAGCAAGGCAGTGAATGTTCTCTCAGTGATATGAAAAAAATGGGACCCCTTGCTCCAGTTAGCTGGGAGACTGTGAGAAGGGCCAGAAAGGTGATGGGCAGAGGCTAAAGCTGCAGGAACAAATCAGAGGAAGAGCTGCAGGCAAGGGGAAGTCTGGGGACCAAGGCAAAGGAACCAGCCTCCAACTTCACCCCTTCAAAAAAATCCACCCACAAACAAGAAACACAGGACAGTAAATAAGAAGGAACTATGATAACGGCAGGGATGACTCAGGTAGGAGGTTAGGAGT